GGCAGACACATGTGAGGCAGAGGGTAAAGTTTTGCGTTCTCCATATTCATAATGGCGCAAAAGTTTAACTCAATTAGAAAATTTCCTTTTTCCTGACTTTCAAACTTTATCAATTTTTTTTTTGTCTGCTCGACTTTCCCTAACCATTTTCACTTTGTGCCAGAGTGCGGAGGACAAACAAAAGCTTTGGCAACTATCTTTTATTTATTCATTGAATTCTGTACTTCAATTAAAAAGCCATTAGAAATGGCACACAGAACACGGAAAGGCTAAAAAGGCAGGCGGAGGTCGGAATGCCGATTCGTTGTCCTGGGAAACTGGGGGCAAACAAACTGTAAACACAACTCACCGATATCCTTACACCAATCCCACAATCAATATTGTTATCCTTTGCCTGTCAAAGGCGAAATTTGCATGCAAGGATTCGTACTTGGCTTTTGTTCTCGCCTTGCCTTTGACCTACAACCTTCGGAAGGGAAAGGCACTACCCCGCCGACCCGGCCTGCCCTAATTTATATTTAATGTTTGCAGGCACCATAAGTTCCTCAGGCAAAATGGATTGCAAAAATTCCTACATAGAGACAAAATGCTAGAACAATATTTGATAGAATTTTAATGAAGTATTTTAACATAAAATAAAAATAATAATATTAAATTGTTAAAGTTTAAATTAAATTTGAATAAAGGGGTATAATATTTGATTCATGTTTTTTTCCAGTGCAGTCCAGTCTGGCTTTCGTAGGTGCCAGACGGGTCAATATGATGTTATTTATATTTCATTTCCAGCTCCCCACATTCTCCTTGTGCGGCAAGGACAGTCTCTGTTGGCAGGACGAGCCAAATAGATGGGAAAAATCTTTCATAACTTAAATCTATATCACGTTACGCAAATCGCACTGAACGAGCTGGTCACTTGAATGACAAGATTACACAACATTACGTTTAATTAGATTTTGGCTTGGCTTTGTATGAAGTTGGCCACTTAAAATGTTATCAATTCAATTGGGGTTAGCATGGGAAATTGAGTTTTGAAAAGTTGGCTTTTGTTTCAAGGCAATGGCCTGGAATGGCCAAGTGGAGGCTAAGTGAATCGAATATCTTAATATAATTGCTGTCCGGATATTCGCATTTAAAAATGCCAGGGGAATTCAACCCCATTCCTGGCCAAATGCAATTACAATGTCCTTTGCAACTGTCCGTATTCAAGGTCTCAAATTGGAGTCCTCTTTAGACAACTGCTCTTACAAATTATTCATGGTTTAATTATACTCGAAGGCTTCTGGACAGCAGGCTAAAATTGAACAATTATAATGATAGTCCTGCTGGCCAACCAAACTATTCATGGAGGTCACCGGCGGAGGTCGCAGGAGGACATGTGGCCTCAATGTCAATGACAAACTGGATGGACAAACCAATCTGACCTTGTTCAATTATGTCACACGCGAGCCCACTGACCGAGCGTCCCAGGTGGAAAATAGTCGCAAGGAATTTCCATATGGCCGCTCTTGTTTAACAAGAATTTTTCAATTATAATTTGTGCTTTTAAACGACATTAAATAGTCATGAAAATTACGTATGCGCCGCGTGTGCTTCATGCACCATGGGAATCGGCAGCTTGCCACTTGTTGGTCGCCTGACATTTTCCCGATTGATGGCCATATTTCATTTGCAAATTTTCCATGGCTGCAAATGTGCATATTTATGAGGGGGGGCGGTCAAAAATGCGTAAACAAGCAATATGCCAAAAATCATTTTGCAAAATCCAAATGATGCTGTGCCCCCAATTGGAAGAGTCAATTTAACTACATATCAAAGTCATCTCCCAAATTTAAGCAGTTTCGGCTCTGGCATAATTTATATAAATTTCCGATTCCTGACTAAGCGATTGCAAAACGAGTTTCAACCAGCATATTGATAAATGAACGAAGGAATGTCAAACGGTATGATGAAATGGAAAAGATTTCAACATCTGCCAAAGAATTTCCCGCTAAGTGCTTGACTACGCTCCAATTCTGAATGGCATTGAGTACTCGGAAAACTGCGGTTTAAAAGACTGCGGAGATACGGATGAATTCAGAGAAAGATTAATCTATAGAAAATGTTTGGCCGGAAATAGTGAACAAACCATTTCCACCATGAAAGTTTGCAATGCCATAGAAAATTCTAAGGATGTGAAATAAAACACAATTACACATAACATAAGTTTTAAAAAATGTTGATATTATAGGAAGTTAAAATTTGTATTATTTTACGAGTATCAGAAGTTATTAGAATTAAAGAATTCAGAAAATTAACCTATAAATTACTTTATTATTATTATTAAATTATTATTATTTATAAATAAAATATTTTCGTTACTATATTTATTTATTATATTCATGTCATTAATCTGAATATATAAGATTTGCTACGAAGCTGAATTAAATATGTGTCCCTATAAAAACCTTAATCTTTTCGCTAAGTAATGAAATAAACACTTGAAAGTTAGCCTACCGTCCTCGTTAAAGATGCTCGAGCAAAGTAAAATGGAAAAACTAATTTCCCTTTGGCTAAATCATCGTCGAACTGTTGAGTAAACTTCCCGAATTCAAGCCAGACCCCGCAAAGTTTCTTATTAATTAAGGAAATGGCGTTAAGTAAATATAATATGTATTTAAAATTATATCTGGGTAATAACCAGAAATGGCCAGGAGGAGCGAGTTGGCGGCAGTCATGTGCGCCAAAGACTACGAAATTGTAGAAAAAACTTTGGCCTTAGCAGTCGGTTGTTGTTGGCTGTGCCATGTTTATGTCCGTTCATTATGCAAAGAGCCAACAACTGGAGCACCGACTATATATACGTGGTTATGAGGACCATAAAGTAAAGCGCACGCCACTTTATTCGGGGCCCCTACCCTACCCGGCCCACAGGTCTAGGTCTCTGGACGGGCCTGTGGCTGCTTCATTACCCTAATGAACTTGAAAAAAGTATCGGGTGTACGGCGAGTCAAAGGCAACTTGAAGACAATCACCAGGTGACCACCAGCCCCCGGGCCACCCCAATTCTCCCGCTTTTCCTCACAGATTTGCCTGTAATGAGGTCATAGTCACGAGTGTTGACTTTAATTAGTGAGTTTTTGAGAGGGGAGTCCACGCCTCGCCCACTTCCTTTGAGTGCCAGCAAAATGAGCTCTGGCCGGGCCATGTGACGCCGTTGGCCGGGCCACAAATTATCCGTTAATTATGGCCAATGCCGAAGTTTTCAGGCTGCGAATGCCCCGGTAATCAATATCAGCTGGGAAACAAGAAACAAATTAGGGGAAATTACAATAAGTCTGAGGTTTCCTCTTACGCTCGTTCAATACTCTTTGGCTAGGGTATTCGTTTAAAACAGAATTAAATATTGGTTCGGGTGAAAAATACAATTAAAATTTTAATATTTTGGTATGAATTGCTCTCAGCTTCGAGGTATAATATACAAATAATCCCAGTTACTCCTTAAAATATTGAAACATTTTTTGTAAATTATCTTTCAAAATCCATATACCCCCAAAGACAAGGTATACGAGATTACAGATTTTAACGGAATAAATACGATAAATTCGTTTAGTTGTCCGTTTTTCAATTTAATTTATGCAGATTAAGTACCCAAAGATGACCAAATAAATATCTTCGGCATTACTGGGAGAAGACAAAAAGACCTCAGTGAAATGATAATTTCTACTAAGACGCTGCCAAGATCCTAAGCGACTTACCTGTGGATTATAGGCGGAGTCGAGTCAGCAGTCATGGCAGCCAGCCAAAGGGCCAAGACATCTTCCCTTTCCGGTTGCCAGTTGAAATAACAATCGAGAAAGCCCGGGAAAATGCTTATTTACATGCGGGGAAAACGATGGGCAGGAAACAGGAAGTTGGTGGCAAGGACAGAAGGCCGGGGCCAAGAAGATACCAATAAACCGGCAACGACATTTGTTGATTTTATTGACATGTTTCGCTGGCAAGTCGGCTTCCCTCTTTTTCTCTGCTGCTGCTGGCAGTCAAATTTCCTCCTTCGCATGTCCTTTTTATTCCTGCCCAGCGGCACTGCTGGCCCAGCTGCCTGGCTCTCTCTTCCTCGCCCCGTGCGTGGTCTTAAAATGCGCCATAAAATTGATAAAATCAGTTGATTGTAAAAATTGATAAATTGAAATTGATTGAGGCAGTCGGGAAATGGAGGAAAAGTCTGGGGTGCCGTGGAAAAGCAAATGAAACGGCTTTGATGCTCCGCTCTTTGCATACGGTATAGGTACACTGAAATAATTTCGGATAGGTTAAAAGCGTTGTATAAATATCTGCAACCAGAGTTGTAAAATGTAAATAAACATTATCTTAACATTTTTAATTTTTTTTTTATGATTTGTAATACTTATTTAAAATATTTTAAAGAATATAAATAGTTGTTCTGTGTTCTCAAGTGGAGCACACATGTTGCCAAGTGAGTTTTGTGGCCCACAAACAACATTAGTGGCCCAAACGCAGTCGATGATTTTTTCTTTTTTTCCCGGAAATGGCAAGGACTTTGCCTTGGGGTAAAAGAAATCACGCAGCGAAGGCACATTTAATTATCCAGCTGAGGGAAATTCTGGTCGAATAGACTTCAACTGACATACGGAAAATGGTGGGAAGGAAATTTAAAATGAGATCCAGGAATAATTCAAAAATAAATTAAAGCTAAAAAGAGACTGATTAATTGAATTAAAAATTAAAAACGTTTTTTATATTAATGAAGATATTTAATAAGTTTGATCGGCATTATGAAACTTTTCCAATAAGTATTATTCCCTTCCAAAATACACATATGTAAGTACATTTTACATTCATCGGCACACTGCAAAAAAAAAATGCCTTGGTCAATTGGTTCATAATATGAACTTCATATTTTCATTTTATTTGCCCCAGTCAAGCCACCCACAACAAAGGCCCAATAGGCACTGAAGAATCGTTCCAAGTAGTTTTATATTCAACTTTACTTTTATTAAGGCGGTAGCAAGAATTTCTTTTGCTAAAAATGTCGAACAATAAAATCTCTTGTTTTCTGATTTTCCCTCTTTCACTTTTTACCATTTGTGCCACATTTAATAAAGACCTTGTAATGTGTGGAGACTGCACTGAGGACAATATGGGCACTTGCGTAATTGATAGTGAGCCGGGGTACTTTGCTACGCCAAAGATTTCGTCTCGATCCAGAGATCTGGAAACTTCATATCCGCCATTAACCGCTAACTTGGACGTGTGCATACCTAGCGATATGAAAATTGATGGTATTGGGATCGGCAGCCATAATACTTATTGACTAATAATTCTATTTGTTACAGCAAAAGATTTTACATTCAAATTTATATGTGTTTGGTCACGAGAACTTGGCTGTCAAATTCTAACTCCTAAGACAGATACGGACGTTGTCTGCGCGGTATGCAGAATCAGAGATTATGATGGAAATTTACGTAATTGTCCGTGCAAGACAACTCCAAAGAAGGGAAAGAAAGACAAGGGCAAGAATAAATCGGGATCAAAGCAACTCTACACCGGATCTCCTCATATTATGGTTGTTGCGGCGGCGTTGGTACTTGTAGGACTAAAGCAATAAAAAATTGTCTGATTTGGCACATTGCAGGAAATAATGCCTATGCTTAATTGGTTCCTATGTTCGAAAGTTACAAAAACACCAGCCAGTCGCGCAATAAACCGAAAGCTATACATATTACTTATACGTGGGATATTCATCCCGTTTCCGTAGGATTCCATTTGTCCCGATCAAGCCACTGCCAACAATTTTTAACGTAGGCCTTGATGTAATTGTTCCAAGTAGTTTCATATTCAAATTTACTTTCACTGAGTCGGTCGCAACAATTTCTTTTTCCAAAAATGTCGAACAATCAAATTTTTTCTTTTCTGATTTTCGCTCTTTATCTGTTCACCACATGTGCTACATTTAATAAAGACCTTGTAATGTGTGGAGACTGCACTGAGGAGAATGAGGGCACTTGCGAAATTGATAGTGAGCCGGGATACTATGTTCAGCCAGACATTTGGTCTCGATCCAAAGATCTGAGATCTGCATATCCGCCAACAACCGCTAACTTGGACGTGTGCATACCTAGCGATATGAAAATCAATGGTATTGGGATCGGAAGCAATAATACTTTTTGGCTTACTAGACTATTTTTTACAGCAAAAGATGGTTCATTCAAATATATATGTGTTTGGTCACGAGAACTTGGCTGTCAAGTTATAACTCCTAAGACCGATACCGAAGTTGTCTGTGCGATGTGCCAAACCGGTGAAACTGTAAATTGTCCGTGCAAGGGAATCCCACAGAACGGAAAGAAAGGCAAGGACAAGAATAAATCGGGATCAAGGCAACTCTACACCGGATCTCTTCATATTATAGTTGTTGCGGCGGTATTGGTACTTGTTGGACTGAAGCAAAGTGGCTTTAGATACGACTTATAAAACACTGCCTTTTACCGATCTTTACATTAACCAAATACAAAAGTTAAACAGTCAATTCAATATTGTTAAGCGAATTAACAAATTCCGATCGTCGTTTCTTCGTTTACGTAGCCCTTTTGCGTTTTTATTTAATTTCGAAGAAAAGACTTTTTCACTTTACCTTGAAACCATTTATTTTTCTTTAAAACATTTTTTTAGCAGTTACTCGTAGAGTGAAAAGGTATATTGTATTCGTCGGAAAGCAAAGGCAAATTTAATAAATCAGCTGATGGAAATTTTGGACGAATAGATTTCAACTGACATTCGGAAAATGGTGAGCGATTGTGGACGTTTGAGGGCGCGTGGCGCATGTGGCCAAGAATATGTGTGGGAAATCTCAACCTTCTAGCTTTTGTAGTTTCCGAGATCTCAGCGTTCATAGAGACGGACAGACAGACAGACGGACATGGCTAGATCGACTCGGCTAGTGACCCTGAGGCTCAGATGACACATTCAATTTTTAGCGTCAATTTATTGTGACAATTTTTCATTTGAGTGAGTTTAAAGAAGTGCAAGCGAGTCAGAATTAATATAATATCGTGCCTTTATTATTGGTGTAAGTGGTAGAGCAGCCAAAAATATTTGATTCTTTCTCGCGCTCGTTTAAAGTCCTATTTAAGAAAAATTGCCACAATTAATTGACGTTAAAAATTGAATGTGTCATCTGAGCCTGATCAAGAATATATATACTTTATGGGGTCGAAAACGCTTCCTTCTATACCTTCTAGCTGTTACATACTTTTGCACGAATATAATATCCCCTTTTAATCTACGAGTAACGGGTATAAAAATAGAGCATCGGTGCATATCTCTTATTTCTTTTGTTTGAAGTAGGCTTTGATGAAATCCTCCCAAGTAGTTATACCCGTTACTCGTAGAGTAAAAGGGTATATTAGATTCGTGCAAAAGTATGTAACAGCTAGAAGGAAGCGTTTCCGACCCCATAAAGTATATATATTCTTGATCAGGGGCACTAGCCGAGTCGATCTAGCCATGTCCGTCTGTCCGTCTCTCCGTCTCTCCGTCTGTCCGTCTGTCCGTCTGTATGAACGCTGAGATCTCAGAAACTACAAAAGCTAGAAGGTTGAGATTTGCCACACATATTCTTTGGCTTCCTACGCAGCGCAAGTTTATTTTAGCCGAGCGCCATGCCCCCTCTAACGCCCACAATCGCCCACTAACGATTTTAAAATGGGTCCTGCGCCCACATCCTTAAAGATTTCCGAGAAGTATAAATGCAATTTTTTTGTGTATATTTATACCTATCGAAATGTAGAAGACATTTTTCAAATCGGACCATTCATTAAAAAGTTATACGCAATCAAAATTTATATATCTATCTCCCTCGCACTATCCAGTACAGCGTTCGCACTCCCTTTAGCTGAGTGACGGGTATTAGATAGTCGGGACACCAACCCGACTATAGCGTTCTCTCTTCTTTTATATATTCAAATGCATTTTCACTGAGGCGGTCGGAAAATAATCTTTTGCTAGAAATGTCACACAATAAAATCTTTTTTTTTCTGATTTTTGCTCTTTACCTGTTTACCACGTGTGCCACATTTAATAAGGACCTCGTAATGTGTGGAGACTGCACTGAGGAGAACAAGGGCATTTGCGAAATTGATAGCGAACCGGGATATTATGTTCAGCAAAATTTTAAGTTACCTATCTGTATAACAGAGAAATGGTGTTCACATCCACCGTATACCGCAGACTTGGACGTGTGCATGCCCAGCGATATGCAAATTGATGGTATTGAGATCGGCAGCAATACCTATACTTACACTTATTGATTTTTGAAACCATTTCTAAGAGCAAAAGACGGATCATTCAGTTTTATATGTGTTTGGTCACGAAAACTTGGTTGTCAAGTTATAACACCTAAGACTGAACCGAAAGAATACTGTTCGTCGTGCCGAACAGAAGACCATGAAGGACTACAAACTTGTCCGTGTAAGAAACCCAAAAAGAAAAATGACGAGGACACGGAGAATTTGGGATCGAGGCAACGCTACACCGGTTCCCTGCATATTATGGTTGTTGCGGCGGGACTGGTATTTATGGGACTGAAGCAATGGGGCGAGCTCTAAAACACATGCCTTTAACAGACTTTAGCATTCACCAAGAACTTCACAAGTTAACAAGCAAATGCAAAAGTCGAACAGTTAATGTAAAACAAATGTAATGAAATTTAGCTTAATCCTTTTTTGGCTTTAATCAACTTTTTATAACCTTGCAGAGGGTATTATAACTTCAGTCAAAAGTTTGCAACGCAGGGAAAGTAAACAGTAAGAAACAGAAAGTATATATTCTTGATCAGCATCACTAGACGGTCCATCAAGCCATGTCCGTATGTCCTTCTGTCTATGTGAACTTGTCTCTCAGTTTAAAAGCTATCGCTATTAAACTTTCCCAAACATCTTTTTTTGGCTCCCATAGGTATAATCAAAAAAAAAATAGAAAAAACATGGTAACTTTGTAAAAAAAAAGGCGTTTTGATTTTTGACATTGTAAAAACAACATTTTAAGTAGGCATACCTGCAAGGGTATATAAACTTCGGCTAGCCAAAGTTAACGTCCTTTCTTGTTTTTTTTCCCCTTCAAACAATTTTTTGTCTTTAAAACATTTTTTTGTAATATTTAACCAAAAATATATGTTTTATCTTAAATCTATTGCTTCGAAATGTTTCCCTATCCATCTCAAAAAATAGTTAAAAGCGTTGCTCAAACAAAAGCAGCTTATTGTGCCCTTTGTTGCAATGCGAAAGCAGATGACCCGAGGTCATTTCATTCCATTCCAGATGTACGAGTATTTGTGTACTATCTCTTGTATTCCGTTGGTGTTTGTTTGCGCACTTCCTGCAGCCAATACATAGTTAATTTGGAGTTGCCCATTTCGGGTACCTCTTTCGCCACTACCAACTTGCCGGGTATAAGCGAATGTCCTGGGTTATAACCATAAACCTGGCGATAATTGCAATTGCATAATTAACGCTGTTTTAACGGCTGCTTTAAAGTGTCCGCTTTAAGTACTTACCTGCACTCGTGTTTTTCTGCCTTCCGCTTGTTTTTAATGTGAGATGAAATTACTTTTTATTGACGCCTGGCAAACACGATTGACATGCACTTACACGCTCGTTGAGTGTCATTTTGCCACTTGCGGTGAAAATGGCCGCCGGTGCGTGTCAGTGTGTGTGTGTATCCTGTCGGGATGCGCTAGTATGGGTGCATACCTGTGTGTGAAACATATATGCGAAATTGATATGTATCACAACCATTGATTTTGCAGTGCAGGAAGGTGTGTCACTCGAGGGTTATATTTCACTGCGATGGATTTTTAAAAAAAAAATTTTAAGTCTATAAAAAATTGTTAAAAAATAATACCTTTGTCACCCAAAATAAATTTGGATTTCACTCGGTTACTAAATGATCATTTCTAAATTTTGTAAACTCTCGAAAGATAGCAAGTCCGTAATGCCCACGTTTTAAATATAGGTATTAAAAATTAAAAGTTCAAGTAAAAATCTCCTTACAAAAACACCCTTTTATCGGATATTATTTCCGGCACATGGAGTCACTTTTTAAATTGACAACGATTATCGGTGACAGTTAACAAGTCAATCGCTGCACAGCGGATATGCGATATACTATATATACCCATTAAAGAGCACGATATCCTATATATACCCCATTAAAAGAGCACAATCCCGCAGACACACATCGATATCATCGTGTGTGACATTATCTTAATGCTCATTAAAAGCCCTTTTGTGTTAAAGCAATGCTTAATTGCAAGTATCGGGGCTATTGGTTCGTGTGGCCATGGCAAAGTTTTTAATTGCTAAAGTTTGCAGCAAAGTGAAAATGGCAGTTGCAACACTTCAATATTTACCCGATAAATTGATAGATGTGCAGCCAGGTTGTCCTGGCTGCTCATTAAAAGCGCTGCCCTAAGCGGCGTGCGTTAATATGTCAAGTTGAGCAGCTAAACTTCAACACCTCGTCCTCGAGCATCCCCGAAAATCCTCCCCAAAGCAGATGCCTGATGCAGCATTTTGGGGCACAAATGAGCAAAAGTTAACAAGACAGAGTCGGGGCAGACGAGCTGTCTTATTACAGCTGCTGCTGCTCCTGAGCAGTTGATGCCACGCCCCACCACCCACTTACCGCCCCTGGTTACGCCCTTTCTTGTGGTTCTTTTTGCTACGCTAGCCGCCTTAAGCGCAAAGCATGTGGCTGCGGCAGTTACACTTAAAAATAAAAGAGTGCATGCCACTTCATTCTATAATTAAATATCCATAAAAATATATAATTTATTTTTTTTATTTTATTAGAATTCAAAAAAAAAAAATTTTAATTTGTACCAAATATGAAAAAATTATATTCTTATATATATAAATACATATATATTAAAATGTCTATCCAAATTTATTTTCTTAAAATTAATATAAATTTAGAAATCGTATCCAGTCGTAGTTATTGTAAAATACGTAATTTTCATGCAGGTATCTATAAATAAAATATATTTTATACTTACAAATATTTAAATTGGTTTTTATTTGTTGCAAAATATATTTTAAAATTTAATGTATTAATCTTTAAAAAAATATTTCGTTCAGTGTGCAGGAATTTTAAGTGCCTGCAACGCAGCTCAACGCAACTCATCTCATCTCCATCTCGTGTGCGAGTGTGTGCTTAACCGCGAGTGCAATTATTACTTGCAAGTTGCAACAAACGGCAGCAGCTTGGGCAAACTTTCAAGAATCCCTTAATGGCTGCTGTTGAGAGCAAGGATTTGTGGCCCGAGCAGCCGGAAACCTGTAATGAAGATGCTTACATATCATAAACATCAGCGAGAAGGCAACCGGTCCATTGTTATGCCAACAGCAGCTGGCCAACCACACAATCCGGACCAGGAATCGCAACCGGAGTCGCAGCAAACGTTTGACCAGCCGGTTAACAATGACATT